CAGCTTGCCTCCAGAAGCAGTAAATGCTCCAACACTGGAAGTTTTTTAGAAGAGACTGGACAGCCATTTGTCCGAAATGGTGTAGGGTTTCCTGCCTGAGCAGGGGGTTGGACTAGATGACCTCCAAGGTCCCTTCCAACTTTACTACTATTACTATTACTACTTCACTTGTCAAAAAGTTGCAAAAGGTGATCACATGACCGTGGGACACTGACCATCATAAACAGTGCTTTTTTCTTTAAAAAAAAGTGCTGGAACTCACACACGTCATACAACCTTGCCTACCCTACAGGGTTCCATCCAAACAAGGTGCCAGAATTCTGTTCTGGGCGTTCTAGGAGAAAAAAAGCCCTGGTCATAAGTATGAATCAGTTGCCAAGCATCCAAATGTAAATCATGTGATCCTGGGGATGCTGCAATAGTCATAAGTGTGAAAAATGATCATAAGTCACTTTTTTCAGTGCTGTTGTAACTTCGAACAGTCACCAAGTGAATTGTTGTAAGTCGAGGACTACCTGTACTTTATCACTTTTTTCCTTTTTTTGGTCAAGTTTTTGACACCTTGCTAGATGATTGGTAGTACTCGAATACTGCAGCCACGCCCACCCAGTGGGCCACACCCACCCAGTGGGCCATACCCATCCAGTGGGTCACATCCACCTGGCACCCAGCAATAAATAAGTGGGTTTTGGGTTGCAGTTTGGGCACTTGGTCTCTAAAAGGTTCACCATCTCTGCCCTAGACCAGGGGTGTCAAATGGCTGGCCCGTGGGCCGGATGCATCATAGCGAAACCGCGGCCACCCCGTTGCCAGCAATGGCAAAAAAGTCACGATATGTTGCAACATGTCACGTGACATTGCGAGTTTGACACCCCTGCCCTAGAAAGTTATTTTCAATCATACTAACCAACTTCCCACAATTCTGTGCTACTCCAGTCTCCTTAGAGGCAAGGTAAGAAAAAGAAACAATAAATTTCACCCTATAATTTTAGTTACATTTTAGAATATAAAAGAAAGTGAAGATAAGACATAATAAGATGACAGTGGTCATTACTCTTTTCAAATGTGTTTAAAAACTCAATGCATTGAAAAGAAGTCAAAGAATCATTTATGCCCTGTTGCTATTTTCATTTGAGGAAATAAGTTGTACTTTTCAGTCACCTGTACTCATTTTTATAGCCACTTTCTTTTTACAATGCTCCCTGGTTTGGAATAATCACTTCTGTTTTGTTTTTTCTGCCAGATATCAGTTTCAGGGCTTCCTTTTTCCCAGGTACCTTTATCACAGACTGGCAGAGATGTTGTTCAAGCTATTGCCATTGGTTCTTCAAACCAGAACCAATACCTGAGTCCACTGCAACTTTCTGTAGATCTGGAAAAAGCTCTTTCCAAATTGCCTTAGGAGTGGAAGCACACAAGCACACAAGTATTTAAGACAAGATGGTAGCTGTAGTTCAATATCTTGTTCCATCCCACTATAGCTAGCTACTCTCATCAGAATCCCATTAAATTTGGTAGGACTTATCCTCAGACAAGAATAACATCATTTATCCCACTCTAAGCTTGCATTCAATGTAATTATATTGGCATACTTTTTATAAAAAATAGTAATGCATGCATATATATATATATATATATATATATATATATATATATATATATATATATATATATACACATACATACATACATACATATATTATGCAAAACTGTCACTTTTTGAATCTGCTTATGTGGTTTACAGGAATAAGTTGAAATTTTGAATTTAGATAATAACATATAATTACATGCTGTAATCAGACATTAAAAAGTAGTTTTAAGATAGGTTAGGCTATGCCAAGCCAGGTTCCTGTGGGGTCTTTTGTTTGCCAGAAAAGTATCATCATTGCATCAAATCCTGGGTGGAACATGTTGCTACTAATATTTCTAAAGGTCTGGTTATTGCACATGTACCAACAATAGCTTTTCCAGAAGGACAAATCCTTATTACAACTCTTATTAAACATAAGCTGAAATCAATATATATTCATTCCTGCTTGCACCCTCTTCTTTTTAAATTATTTCTGTATGGCTTAAGAAGTGAGGAAGCGGAGTCACTGCCTGAAACACATCAAGCAAAACATTGCATTGCTAAATATTTTGCATCAGGGCAGATAAGGTCAATAGGTATATCGCAAACCCATCTCATATTTTTAGCTGGAAGGCAAACGCTTTCCTTTTCCACCTACTTAAATATTGAGCTTGCCTTCTAGGACTATGACTAATGAGAGATGAGAAGATCTATTTCTACCCTAATCTTTATGCATTTCAGGTAATACCAAATGCTAATTAATTGCACACATTTTCAACTGAAGAAATCTGGGCAGTAACTTTGCAGGGATTGGTTCTCTGGTTGCTAAGCTTTTCCTTCAGTCTGCTGCATGCATGTCTTCCCAATCAGACTGAACCTACAAAACTTTTTGCATTTGCAGATCATTGGGAAAATCATACTTTTTGTTTCTTTTTCCAGCATGACATATATTTTTAAAACTATACATGAACCTAGATGGTAAACTAGACCTTGATGGTACCCTGATGGTATAATTTTAATCCGTAAATATACTTTCATGTCAAATTGCTTCAAGAAAGATTTTTCACAAAGATCACACAAAGATATATATATCACATCACTTTACTCGTTTTCAGGATAAGCAACAGGCTAAGAATATGTTAAGTCATATTCTAGAAAGAAGTAGAGAGAAGCACTTTACACAGATATTTTTTTGCTTCTCTTATTACTACTTTCTCCAAGCACTCCACATATTGCTCATGATTTTTATAGATCTGTATAGATGCAGCTATGTTAGATGGGACTTCACGTAATCATAATTTCTGTCAATCTGCTCTAGCCCACAATTTTAAATAAATTCTTCTAACGTGATTCTATAAGAATATACAAAAGAGTGGGTGATGAAAAAGTCTTATGTTGGGTGTCACTTAGTTTCCATATGAAGAATGAGTTTCTGAGAGTTAAGTATAAAGATGTACAACCGTCTAGATCAGGGGCAGGCAACCTTGGCTCTTTTATGACTCGTGGACTTCAGCTCCCAGAATTCCGGGAGTTGAAGTCCATGAGTCATAAAAGAGCCAAGGTTGCCTATCCCTGGTCTAAGTGGTCTACGCTGCTTGTTGAGATTCAGCAAGGTGGTTCAACTACAGTTGTTGCAGGTTTCTTACGGGACAACTTGGATCAAATTTTCTTTATGTTGATTCAATCACTTCTAAGCCCTCTTTGCTAGTTTTTCAGACATCTCTAAATCACATGTTTCTGAAATGTTTTCATTATTGATAATGAATTTTACTTTTATTTTTTTTAAAAAATAACATTTTTTTTCTTCAGGTGGTGAAATACTTTGTCAGCGACAGACTAATAAATGCAAATATGTTCTAGAGAAAAATATATAAAATGATGATTCATGTGAGTAAAGTATATTCCTACTATCATATCAGAAATTCAGATCAGACAAGATAAAGTGCAGTCCTTAACACAATTAACTTGCTGTCAGCTATAACTGAAGATATGATGAGGGTCTTTAATATTACAGATTAAATATTTGTAAACAATATTTACAAATACATATAATAATAGCTATTAATCATGACAATTAAATAGAACCCTGGTTTTCGAAGGCAGCAAGCTAGTAAACATCAGCTGCCATAAATAAGACAGGAATGTGTTATTGTCTCTTGACCTACTTGTTCATTTTCTAGTTGGCAGCCACGGAAATCAAGCTGCTGAATAGACTCTTAATCTTGTCCAGCAGGGCTCTTCATGGTCTTATTATTTACTTCCTGCATTTTGAGTTGCCCATAATTTTATACACTATGGTATGACAAATTTGTTTTTTAATTATGTTCATAATGATTCAGTTTGGAATCCAGTTTTGGAGTTTATTATATTTAATCAGGCTGCTCCAAAAATTTATCAGTTCAACTAAAGTTTCGATTTAAAGTTAGATTTGTAAATCTGAAGTTTAAAACTTGGTATTTCAGGTTGGTTGTCTTTGGAAATCTACTTAGGGCACAAGCAGACCCAAACTTCCTTTAATTCCTTTAAAAATTATGATTTTTATGGTGTGCCTTTTTATAGATATATTTTTTAGATTTTTTGTGGCTTCTCCATAGAAAAAAAGATTATATCAAAATGCAAGTGGGTTAATTAAAAAACAGGATTTTGCTATTTTTATTTTTTGTTAAATACCCAAACAGCTATGAAGTATTTAATTTTTAAACAAGATTGTATAAAATATGCAGATATAGTATACCTTTATACTTAGCTGGAGGAAGCGTCAGTTTGTGATTTCATACTGAAATGGAAAAGAAAGATTTAGGATAGGATCTGTGGAGCTGGAAAAAGGATTAGTTGCATTAAAGGAAAACAATGGTTAAAGGTTCACAGTCCACCATTCTTCTTAAAAAGGTGTAAAGGGTTCTCTTGTCCAGTCATGACTGATTCAAGATGGCGAAGCTCATTTCCAATTCCAAATCAAGGGAGTCTATTTTCTCTGATAAATGTTTCCATCATCATATGGCCAGCATTAAAATAGATATTTAGGTACTTATTTAGCTACTTGCATTTGCATGCTTTTGAACTGCTAGGTTGGCAAATAACGGCAGCTCACCCTGTCACACAGCATTCGGGTCTGTCAGGTTCCCAGCTGACAAGTTCAGCGTCTTAACCGCTGAGCTATTGCACCCCAGTTCTTCTTGAGCTCTACAAAATATTTTAAAACATACCTCCTTACAGGAATCAAAGCTAACTTAGATAAAATATTATTTAAGATTCACCATATTTCTCAGAAAGAATTGTGGCTGGAAAAACATGGTAAACTGTTTCTTATGGTTAAAAAGTGGGGTTGTGAACCAGACAATTTTGTCAAATTAAAAAAAAAGAATCTAGATTTTGTTCTAATTAATTTAGAAGGATTCACACTTTAGCATTGAATGCTATAGATTCTTTTTGAAGTTGCCAGGTTCTAATTAAACATTTGGTCACCAAGTGCAATTAACAATCACTAGTCTAAACCAAAGACCCTCTTGATGCGGGTGAAGGAGAGTACAAAAGTTGGCTTGAAACTCAACATTAAGAAAACCAAAATCATGGCATCCGGCCCTCTCAATTCCTGGCAAATAGATGGGGAAGAAATGGAGGTAGTGACAGATTTTATTTTTCTGGGCTCCAAGATCACCTCAGATTGGGACTGCAGCCAAGAAATTAAAAGACGCTTGCTCCTGGGGAGGAAAGCTATGGCAAATCTAGACAGCATACTAAAAAGCAGAGACATCACCCTGCCAACAAAAGTGCATATAGTCCAGGCCATGTTTTTCCCAGTTGCAATGTATGGCTGTGAAAGTTGGACCATAAGAAAGGCTGAGCGCAAAAGAATTGAGGCCTTTGAACTATGGTGCTGGAGAAGACTCCTGCGAGTCCCTTGGACTGCAAGGCGTTCAAACCGGTTAGTCCTAGAAGAGATCAACCCTGACTGCTCTTTAGAAGGCCAGATCCTGAAGTTGAAACTCAAATACTTTGGCCACCTAATGAGAAGGAAGGACTCACTGGAGAAGGGCCTAATGCTGGGAAAGATTGAGGGCAATAGAAGAAGGGGATGACAGAGAAGGAGATGGCTGGATGGAGTCACTGAAGCAGTAGGTGTGAACTTAAATGGACTCCAGAAGATGGTAGAGGACAGGAAGACCTGGAGGAACGTTGTCCATGGGGTCGCAACGGATAGGACACGACTTCACAATTAACAACAACAGTCTAAACTAAAGTTAAAAACTGTCCAAATTTGATGCAACCCTCCCCCCCTCCATAATGGCATCTAAGGGAATCTCTTTCAACATAATCTGAGTGCTATGCCACAATGGAGAAAAACAGTAGAACTGGATGATTTTTTAAAAAAGAAACTAAGATACCAATTTTACTAATAAATAGTAATTTTATAATGACCATCTGGAATGGAAAAAAAAATAAGGGAGAGGAAGAATCTCACCAGAGCTGGTTGTCCCTCTTCTCATCTCTTAACTAGAGTTTGACCAAATGACTATGGCAGTTGAAGAAATTAAGCCTGATACAATTACTCTGATGGAATTATCTGCATCCTATTACATCCCTGATTGATGATCAAATATTGCAATGTTTCCTAGTTTTTAAAAGGATCATTGAATAATTGCGAGTAGGATGCTGCCTAAAATACAATACAAAAGTAGTTGTATTTTTCCTCAGTTAACCTTTTCGAATTGCCCAGAACATGATTTAATGTGCTTTGCAAGCAAATGACTGTGTAGTGCCAGTATTCTTGGAGACAGGCAGGCAACGTACGTGCAAAACTTTCATTGGCATACAACATTATAGGTTTTTTTAAAAAATATAAAATCTATACAAGGCTTGATGATGTAAGTGTGAATTTAATTTTTTTTCAGGACCAGTAGGTACATGTAAGTATGTAAATGTGCATATGTACACAGAGATAAGGTATTGGATATTTACTAAACTTCTAGAGACCTTGAGCAAACATTTTAATTGAATACTTAAATCATTCCATGCAATTCATTGTTGTCATCATAACTTTCATGTTACATAATCCATTTATGCTGGTCTATGACCATAATAAACCTTTGACTGATATAAAGTAATTTATGAGGATTATTCTTGATTAAAAGCTGCCCACATCTTAAATGGATAAAAACCAAAACATGAAATAAAAATTCAAACTTAAAAACATCTGCATTGCAGTTTGTTTATTTCAATCACAAACTGATTGAAACTGTCACTCGTATGAACAATCACTCAGCATTTAAACACACACACAAAGAGAGAGAGAGAGAGAAATAGAGAGAGAATATATATCAAGAAGCTGCCTTTCTGGATGATAAAACTCAAGAAATAAACATTTACTTTCCATTGTCTCCAGCAGTCTTTAAAATCAACAGAACAAAGGGACTATAAATAATTTCATTGCACTTTATTGAACTCTTGATTGACCACCATTATATTTTTTTATTTGTTAGACCTTATAAAATCAATGTTCCATGAACCTTACAACCTACAAATCTTTTGAAAAGAGTTTTTCCCAATGAGATTGAACAATGGAATAAAATTGGCCTTCCAGAATCTGGGAGGACTCCAAAATGACTTCTCTACAAATAGAATACATGAAGGTTAAATGAAGATGGCCTCAGTTCCAGTCAGTGAAAGAGAGGCTTGTTTGTACCACTTTATTTTCAAAGAAGGCAAATTGATCATATCTGCCTTTCTTGTCCACAATGGTGACAGCTAGTCCAATGTTCTTATAGAATGTAAGCACATTGGAAAATGCTTGGTTGTATAAGTTTCTTACTATTCAGATTTCTGGAATGGTTTTATAAAAAAAATAATCACTGGCAGTGTCAGATACACAACAGTTTTGCAGCATGTCTTAACTAGCTGTTGGACAAGATAGAGGTTGGGATGCCAATATTGTCACTGCTACCATTGCCACTATTGCCATCACAAAAATGCAGGAAAATAAGTATAGTTTGGGGCATACTAGGTGGATATTCTCACAATCAAAATGTATCAAGAAAGTATCAGGCAGGAAAAGGCTGGGTTAATGATTACAGTTTTAGTATTATCATTTAGCAATATTTTTTATTAATATTATGACTTGCCATCTAGCTTTAAAGAGAGATTTATACCAATTTTGTGAAGGAGAAAAAAAAGAAAACTTGAGGAAGATTAATGCTTTGTCAATTTATACTTTCTTTTTCAGCATGGTCCAAGTTAATCTATAGGAAACAAATTAATTGGGATTTAACCAAGAAAATACTTTCTAGAAGTTGAAATGTTACTTTCAAACACAGGAAATAAATCTCACATGGCGCCTAGAAAAAAGAAAAACATAAAAACCATGAAATTAATGGGCACAATCTATCTAAAATCACTTTTTGCATTATTTCAATTTAGAAAAAAATAGGAATGAATCAACATAGTCATAAACTGAGAACTGTCTGTACTAGAATTTATTATTTGAGCACTCTATTTGTGAGATCTAGAAGGCTCCAATGCTGTGAAAAGTAGAAGGAAAGAGAAGAAGAGGACAGCCAGTAGCAAGATGGATGGACTCAGTTAAAGTCGATATGAGTGCACTGTTGGAAGACCTAAAAGATCAGATCAGGGACAGATTATTGTGGAGAAAATCTATAATAACTTTATGGCACATAAAAAGTGTCATCATTGCTTATCATTCTTTAAAGCTGGATTTGGCAACCTTTTTGTGTCAGATGTATATATTTGCAAACCACATTGTAAGTGATAACACAAATGGCTATGATACAGCTATCACCAATAGCAAAATATCCTTTTGCTTGGTTCATATAATAAACTTATTTCCAGAATTTCCCTGACAACCCTTCTCTTCATCTTATTTATGTCCACTTTTCTAGCAAAGCTTTTTTTTTTGTTTCCTATGAATACATGTCACTGATGTGGAATTATTGGATGATTGATTGCAGGATCCCTGTTAAAAATTCAGATATTATAGTGAACATAAGTATGTCTGTTCAGACTGCTGCCTTTGCATCAGGTTCTCAATTTAAAGAAAACAAGCAAAGGGAGAAGAACTCTTTCAGGCTGGTAGGAAGTAGAATCTTAAATTATATAAATTTAAAGAAAGAGCATCTGGATAATATACATAAAGTCTGAAAAACCATCTGTTTTTAGTTTGATCATTAATTAAGCATTGCCACAGTTTAACAGAATTTTAGATTATCAGGAATATTGCAATTCAAGTTGCAGAAAGTATTTTCAATTGCGAACACTGAAGATGAGGTGGATGACAATGTGAGACAACTTGCAAAGAGCAAATAAATCTCACTATTGGCAGCCATGGGAGAACACTAAATTCCTATTACCAATCCTTTATTATTGAATGTTATGCTAAAACTTCACTAAATCATTCCTAATCCCATACATTGTATAAAATGCTTGCTAGTACAATTGACTCAGAAAAAGAGATCATTGAGCTTTCAAAAAAGATGCTTTTAAAGTAATCATCAAATTACAATGTGAATCATCATTTGCATCACATGTTGCTATAAATTTATTTTACTTATGATTCATGACAGTGTTTACAGCATTCAGAAAAACTGACTGCATATTCATTTGGAAAGATGAGCCTTGGAGAATAAACAAGTATATTAGCACTCAGGTGTTTAATATTAAAAGCAAATGCAATCCATATTTTTTTTCAATATTATAAATATGTGGGCACCTCTTCATTAGAAACCAGAAATAACATTTTACTGGCTAACTGTTTATGAAGTTTGTCAAAAGGAAGACAGGTAATTCACAGAGCTTTACAGATAATGTGCAATGAAATTAATATAAATAATTAATATAGCAATCAAATTAAGTTTCAGTTTAAATTAATCCTAAACATAATAAGGTACAATTTATTGAATCTGTCTTTGCTGGTTATAATTAAATCCTAATTGTTTCAAGAAGAACCATTTTTTAAAAATCTGCTTCTGGGAGCCTCTGAGAATGAGACCCATTCTTACTGCAGGCAGCAATTATTCCAAAATATAGGAATTATTACTCCTGCCTTACTTCTTGGTAAGCAGAACCTTTAGAAGGTACTGCCAGCTAAGAAGGGTAGAAACTAAGGGGGACAGATATCCAGGCCCCAAGCCGTATATGGTTTTATTAATAGTGACCAGAATCTTAAATTGCATTCCATAATCACTATCTGAACTCATTTGTTCATAAGAACTATTGTAACTCTGTGTCTCAATTTTCAGTGTTGATAGGTGGTCCAAAAGGATACTACGATTTACAATAGTGAAGCCCACTGAAAGATCCAGGAAGAAGGATGTTTGTCCTACTTTCATCCAAGCCTCATCACAGATCAACCATTAGAGCAACCCATGTACAAATCTGAATGAAGATAAAAACATTCCAGAGAGGATATTCTTACAATTGACAATTATATACTTGTACTCTGATATCGGTGTTCTGACATCTCTTTTTCCACCACTCAATTTCAGCAAAGTGATTTTTAAAAACCCTTCTCACAGAAGAGTAAAAACACATAAATACCACAAATTAAATTAGAATAAATGATTTGGCAAGGAGGAGGGGTAAGGTTAAAATAGAGGATCCTACTAGTATTTTGAAAATTAGAACAAAATCTGGAGACATGATTGCACAAACTTCAAAATTCACTGCATAGCAAGTATGTGAAAAGAATACAATTGTTTGGGATTATTTTTGAGACTTGGTATACATAACTATGAATGTATGAGTGCTTAGCACAAATTCTACAAACAGATTGTCATTGACAAACATTGTCCACTTTGTAGAATTTTAAATTGCATTAGAACATTTACGGATTTTCCTTCCTACTTGGGAGATCACACAATAAAATCAGATCATTGCATTTTATCTCCTCCCCCCCCCAGCTCAATCAGATGAAGATATTGATAAAGAAAATACTTATGGCTTTTGTTAAATCAGGAAATATATGGAGTTTGAAAAAAATTAAAACATTTATCCTAAATTCAACTAGTTGAAAAATGTTAGCTTGAATAATCATTTACCAAATATGGGTTATATAAAGATAATTAAAATACTTAGGCTGATTGTGTCAAGTCAGTGCCATTTAACTAAGTGAAAACTGCTGACAACAGCAACTGAGTAGTGAAATATGAAGTATAAGTAGCATGGTCCAGCTTAATTCTGTCCCACTAGTGTAGCATTACTTTATGATTGAAAATAGTATTGTTGCGTCCTTCGCGAAATGGCAAGACACGAGAAGCAGATGTAGTTCTCAGGAAACTTCTTTATTTCAGTTCAGCATACTGGTTACAAGATGCTGACAACTCCCAAAACTCCCGGCCTCTTTTATAAGCCATTCCCGGGTCAATCTGCAACTTTTGGCGCGCCAGCACTTGCGCATGCACACAAGTACTGGTGACAGCCTGTCTAGTCCCGGGCAGCTTGCACCTGCCCGGGACCGCCTGCAATGCCCCGAGCCTGCTTGCACAGGCTCAGGACATAACACCCCTTCCCCCCGGGCTAAGACTATTGATCATGTCATAATAACACATAACCCATTGCGAGAGTAGCGCCATACTACCTCATGCTATGCATTTCTTTTGTTCCCATCAGTCTCCGTGTTCTATTTCCTCTGTGTACAGGAATGTTCTCTGTTAACTCTGTTTTGCCAATAGAGTTACAAAATCCTCTAAATACTTAGGGTATCTTCTGGCTCTCTGTGACCTCCTAACCACTGGGTACCTGCCAGGTACCCCTTGACTGAGGGGTGATGCCTATCTGTCCCCCCTATTATACCCTGGTGGTTCCCAAGGGCTGTGCTCCAATGCCTGGCCTGCTTGCTTGCTCACCGGGCTCGTCAGGCCAGGGCTTCTTTCTTTGTTTGACCTGGTTGTCCTGCCTAGCTGCAGGCACTCTGGCCCCTCTAAGTGACTGTCACTGTTGGGCGATTCTGTGGAATCTCCTAGGTCCGTCCAAGACCTGTCAGGAGGTTGTCTGTCCCCTGGTTCTCGTTCTGTCCCCGGGCTTGTGGGGGTTTCAGTGCTGTCTCAAAACTCAGTTGTCCCCTGAGTGAAGTCAGAGGTGTTGTAGTCGGGATTCGGTTCCTCGACCACTTCCCTGTATGTTTGCCCCCTTCTAGGGACAGGGGTAGTGTCGGGCCAACTAGAAGGAGTATGTGCCAGCTCTCTTGCGGGGTAATGGTTTGTTGGGATGCTCCTGGATATCCTCCCTGACTGGAGTACTGAGTGATGCGGGTGAGTGGTGATTATGCCCCCGGGGTGACTCCCTGGCTGGAGTAGGCGTTGATGCCTGATGTCTAGTTGAGCTCCTTGAATTCCTGTTTGGAGCACTCGCGGACTCTTGGGATAAGCTGTCTGTAGCTTCCTCATTAATGATGGGCAGCAGCCCATATCCTTCCCTTTGCCCAAAGGGGTCCCCCTCCCCCCCTGGAAAGGACCCAGGAGTCTCAGCGGGAAGGTCCCATCTAAGGTGAAGCTGGTCGATGTGTCGACGCAGGACATGACTGTTGTCTAGAGACACCTCGTAAGACAGAGGACCTTTGACCCTGGATACACTAGCGGGGACCCATGAATGACCGGGCCCGTAATTACGAGTCCAAACCGGGGCACCCACAAGTAGTTGTCTAGGTGCCCTGGGGAGTGTGAAAGAAGAAGGAAGTCTGTCCGAATGCAACCAGTCAAGCTTGGTAGTCAGTTTGCGCCCCCAGCGAAGTTCAGCTGGGCTTCTCCCTGTAGAAGTGGACGGTGTAGTGCGATAAGAAAGGAGGAAGTCAGCCAACCTGTGATGCCAGTCTCCGTAGGTAATTTTCTTCAAAGCGTCCTTGGTGATGCGAACCATGCGTTCAGCCATACCGTTGGTGGACGGGTGGAAAAGTGCAGAGGTGGCATGACGAATCATGTTAGCCTGTAAGAAACCTTGGAATTCGGAAGAAGTGAATTGAGGGCCGTTGTCAGACACGAGGACGTCTGGAAGCCCATGTGCAGCAAAAATCCCCCTCAGTACTTGAATAGTCTTTGCAGTGGTGGTGGAAGAGACAGGTACAACCTCAAGCCATTTTGAATGGCTGTCAACTAGGACCAAGAAGAATTGACCCTAAAAGGGCCCAGCGTAGTCAATGTGCACCCTAGACCATGGAGACTGTGTTTCCTCCCATCTATGTACAGGAGCTTGGGGCATTTCGGGGCGCGAACGTTGGCAAAGGTGGCATACGTGCACCTTAGCTTCAATGTCTCTATCTAACCCAGGCCACCACAAATGGCTGCGCGCAAGCGCCTTCATGCGTACAATGCCAGGATGACCCTCGTGGAGGGAACCTAAGACCCTAGTCCTCATTGAGGTAGGAATGACAACTCTGCTTCCCCAAAGCAGACAACCCTGGAAGGTGGACAATTCGTTCCTTTTAGACCAGAAACTCTGAAACTCAGTACCAGGACAGCTCTCTGGCCATCCAGATAAAACCCAAGAAAGGACACATGAAAGTGTGTAATCTGTGCCTGATTCAGCGGCTACATCTCTGGCATTTAAAGGAGACTCGGGCAAGGCCTGAATGGAGAGAAGATTGATAGCTGGTGCAGGGTCAGCTTCTATTACCGGCAGGGGTAACCTACTGAGGCCATCAGCATGGCCCATTTCCTTCCCAGGTTTGTGAAATAGGGAGAAATCATAGGCAGAAAGAAAGATAGACCATCTTAGCATTCTGGGGGAGATGATTTGGGGAGTTTGCTTACGAGTAGTAAACAGTCCCAACAAAGGCTTATGGTCAGTGAAGACCATGAAATGCCTGCCAAAAAAAAAACCTTGAATTATTTAATTCCAGCAACAACAGCTAAAGCCTCCCTGTCTATTTGAGCATAATTACGCTCGGCAGAAGACAAGGTTCTGGAGTAATATGCAACAGGAACCTGAGTTCCATCTGACCTGAGGTGGCTTAATACAGCTCCTACCCCATAAGGAGAAGCATCACAAGCGATGCACACAGGAAGGGATTCATTGAAATGTGCAAGTACACTGTTAGAAGTGAGTAAGGCCTTGACCTCATTGAAGCTTGCTTCATGCTTTTGTGACCACTGCCACACTGCCTGTTTGTCCAATAGCTTGTGAAGAGGCTCAGCTACACTCGCCTTATGTGGAAGAAAGGAATTGTAGAAATTCAGAAGGCCCAGAAAAGCCTGTAGTTCAGCCTTAGACTTTGGCCTAGGAGCATGCATAATAGCTTTCAGTTTGGATTCAGCAGGGTGAATCCCAGTAGCATCAATTTTGAATCCCAGAAAATCAGTAGAAGGCACTCCAATTTTACATTTGTCCTTCTTAAGCTTGAGGCCCGTTTTCCTGAACCTTAACAGGACAGCCCTTAATCTCTCAGCTAAATTGTGTGTAGAGTCTCCTGCAATTAAGACATCGTCAAAATAGGGGCAAACCCCTGGTATACCCTGTAGTGTGTTTTCCATTACGCTTTGGAAAATTCCAGGAGCGACATTTACTCCAAATTGTAGCCTCTTCACCTTGAATGCTCCTCTATGGGTCACAATGGTCTGAGCTACAGCAGCATCATCATCAACAGGCAGCTGTTGATATGCCTGAGCTAGGTCAAGCTTTGCAAAAACACGTCCCCCCCTTGAGGGAGGCCAGAATATGACTGACCACAGGAACAGGATAGGCATGTTGCTGCAATGCCTTATTCAGAGTGCATTTGTAATCAGCACAGATGCGAATGTCCCCATTTGCCTTGAGAGGCGTGACAATGGGGTTTCCCAGGGACTGGAGTCAACAGGTTCTAGAACTCCTTGCTGAATCAATTTGTCCAGCTCAGTGTCAATTTTACCTTTTAAAGCAAAAGGGACCCTTCTTGCTTTAATTCTAATGGGAGTGACAGTGGGGTCTAGCTTTAGTGACACAGGGGTCCTTTGTATGTGCCCAGCTGGGGGCTGAAAACATCTGCAAATTCTTTGCAGACTTCTTGTAGGTCAAGTGTTTGCAGACTATTGAGCCCTGTGACATGTATTCCCAAGGCCTCAAACCAATCGAGTCCTATGAGACTCGTTCGTTCACCCCCTACTACTATTAGATCTAGTGGACCTTCAAAATCCTTATACTGTACGTTAAGGGTGGCCTCCCCCTTAACACACACTCTGGAGTTTTGAAAGTCTGTTAGCACAATGTCGGAAGGCCTCAACTTGGCCTGAGTTCCACTGCCAGAACAAATCTTCCTAAACGTTTGCATGGAAATGATCGAAAGTGCAGACCCCGTATCCAGTTCCATAGCCAATGGAACCCCTTGTAGCTTCACCTTAAGTGATAGCTTTTTCTTAATGGGCTTGTGTGTGCCTGTCCTATAGATGCTTCTTCGCGAAGCGCAAAACCCCACCCTATTTTGGCTGGGAACCCTGGTACCTTTCAGGCGCAATTCTTCCTGAGGTTGTACCTTCTG